AGTGAGAGCGCTCGCCGCAGGCTGTGCCGACTGTTGTTGGCCGTGTCCGGCCTGCTGGAGACCAGCTCAGGAGGGGCTGACTTCATCTAAGTATACGCCTGAGTGATGGGCTTTGATGGCTGGAGGCCAGGACAGTCCATTCCTAGAGGCCTCGTCTGCAATCCTGGCCAATCCTTTGTTGTGGTTTTGTTTTTTTGAGACAGGGTCTCGCTGTGTGGTGCAGGATGGCCTTGAACTTGCTTATGTTGGCCTTGAATTTTCAGTGATCCTCCTGCCTCAGCTTACTGAGTGCTGGGATTACAGGCATGTACCACCTTGCCTGGCTGTTTTGGTTTTTTGAGACAGGGTCTCTCTATGTAGCCCAGGCTGGTGTTAAACTCTTGGTGATCCTTGTGCCTCAGTGATCCTCCACTCAGCTTCTCGAGTGCTGGGACTACAGACCCTGTTTCAAAACACAGATTAACGCACACATGATCAAGAGCAGCATTTGGAAACAAAGTGCCCATTTTGGGTCCTATGATCCCGGTTAGTAACAGGCTGGGGGTTGGGACAGTGCACAGAGCCTGGTAACAAGACATTCACGCCACAGGTGCCCTACCTGATGGGCGTTTGGGGGCCCAGCCACGGTTTCCTTTCCAGGGACCCACAGTGAGTGCTGGGAAGAAATGTATCTGTCTTTGCTTTTTTTTTTTGGTACCAGGAATCGAACTCAGGACTCCTGACCTTGTGCTTGCCAGGCAGGCGCTGTGCTACTGAGCTACATCCCCAGCCCTGCCTTAGTCTTGGTACCAGACATACTCTCAGTAGAGGGACACAGTGATGCTGACCTCAGAGTAGATGAAGATGACCGAGCTCTACAGTCACATGGGGAGGTGACAGTTCATGTCTGCCCCCTCAGGAGGTACCTTCTTGGTTTACAGGTTATGCTCATCCAAGGCTCAGGCCATGTGGGCCTTGCTAGGGACAGCCACCCCAAAGGTTCTGGTACTATTCTTAAAAGCTGTCTACCGTGTCCCTTTTTCATTGTTCTGAGATGGGTCTTGCTAAGTAGTTCAGGCTGGCCTCAAAGTCCAAGCAATCCTCCTACCTCAGCCTCCTAAGTGCTGAGATTACAGGCGTGTGTCACCACACCAGACTCATAGGTGGTATTTTTATAAATGAATTTTTTTTTTGAGGGGGGCAGTCTTTTTGAGAGAGGGTCTCGCTATGCAGTTCAGGCTGGCCTATAACTCACTTTGTAGCCCATGCTGATCTTGAACTCACAAAGATTCTCCTGCCTCAGCCTCCCAAGTGCTGGGTATAACTGACTTTTTTGCGGGGGGTGGTTTCCGGTACCAGGAATCGAACTCATGATGTTGTGCTTGCCAGGCAGGCACTGTGCTGCTGAGCTAAATCCCCAGCCCCTATAATTGACTTCTTAATTAATGTTTGTGGAAATCTGGTGTGTCAGGCATAGTATCAGATGCTGTGATGAGCAAAGAAGGCAAATTAATGCCATCAGGGCAAGACCTTTAGTGTGGGAAAACTGACCTAGAACTTTTAATATTCTTTTGCCTCTGTCAGGGCCTTTTAATCCATAAAAAGGGATTTACTGCTAAACTTTGTAAGTGGAGACACTGAATGCCTCCTCCTCAAGGAGGCAGAAGGCAGCTCTGTGCCCGTGTCCCAGCCCCTGGCCCTCGGCTGGCCACCTCCTTGGGTGCAGGCTGCCTACGTGGCATGTGCCCACTGGGGTGGCCTACAGCTCCACAAGCAGCCAGTCATTAGACAGAGGAGGAAATTGAGGCTCCAATTCCTGGAAACAAGAGACTCTATAAGGCCCGGCCGGCCTGACTGCTGGTGGAGAAGGCTGGGGTCAGGTGACCGTGGGCACCGGATGACATTCTGCTCTTAGGTAGGAGAGACAGGGGGACAGGCAGGCTTGGCTCGATGAAGCCACTAGGGGCTTGGAGACGGCTACAGGGCTCAGCTGGGCTCTTGTCCAGCCAGCACTGGAAACTACTGGGGTGGGGGGCAGAGATGCTGCGCCCCTGGGACCCTTGGCCCCCTGCCAAAGCCTGGGTGGTTTGGAATTAGTGAGGTGCACAGGGGAGGATGCTGGCCACAGCACAGCACCGAGACCAGGCCAGACCAGAGCGCCACACGGACTAGGACAGGCTGGCAGGGACACCAGGAATCTCTTGTCCCAGCCAAATCTTGGTAAGCCTAGTGGCCCTTCCCCAGCCAGGGATGTGGAACCCATTTCTCGGCCGGAAATGGCTTTGACAGAAGGGGCAATGGGAGGTCTCCAGCCTGGCTCTCCCAAATCTCATTTCCTGCAAGTCCTCAGTGGCTGCCCCATGGCTAATTATGGCCACGAAGTGCGAGTGGTGCAAACGTTTATTAGACGTCACCTAATGGGTGTGCTCAAGAGCGTCCTTACTAAGACTGGGGGAACTTAGTAACAGGCTGCTGTCTCACGGTTAGCTTCTGTCTACGCAGCCTCCAGGCTGCTGCTTCGAGTTTCCTCCAAGAGCTGGGCCCACATGTACACAGCTCTGCGTGGTGAAGCCAGCAGGTGCTCAAGTGGGAAGAGCACATAGTTCAGGCTGGCAATTTATTGAGGCTCTCTTGAGTGCTGGGATTAAGGCACGCACTATCACACCTGCTTCCCTGGAGCAAGTTTTGAATAAATCCTTTTTACTTTTTACCAGAGTAAGTGACTTCCTCCAATTTGGTCATCGGTGAGCAAATGAACCTCAGCATATAAACCTAAGTGGCCGATAACACTTCCCACATCGCGATGTGACCCGATGTGACACAGACGTGGTTGGGTGGGTCTGTGTCAGGGTCTTGCGGCAGGTCCTTTCTCCTCCACTAGCTATGGGGCCCTCGATAAGTTAACTTACCTCTCTATGCCCTAGCTTCCCTAAAACGGGGATAGTTTATTCATATGTATACACATATACACATACACACGTATATGCGCACATATACATACATATTTGGTACTGGGGATTGAACCTAGGGCCTCCACAGCCTTTTTCTCCCCCTGTTGAGACAGGGTCCTGCTAAATTGCCCAGGCTGGGCTTGAACTTGGGATCATTCTGCCTCAGCCTTCTAAGCAGCTGGGGTTACAGACATGCACCATCACCTCTGGCTTCGAAGAGTTTGTGAGTAAATGTATACATTTCTGATTTCTAAGGAGCTGGGATGGACCTTGGCGCTTGCGAAGTGTCACGTAAGTACCATGCCAGGTACAATATTCTGCCACCTCCAAAGCAACACTTCACACCAAACTGGCACTCTCTGCTTCTTCTTTAATACTTTACTCATTCATTTAGCAAGTTATTTGCAACATTACTGCCTGCCAGGCCTCACTGTAGACATGAGGAATACCGCAGAGAAATCTGTTTTTATGCCAGGAGAGGTGGCAGATGGATGAAGAAAAACACCCAGCTCAGGTCTAAGATAAGTGACTCAGGGTGCGTCGCGGTGTCTCCAGCAGCATTTTCACTGGCTGGCTAGGAAAGGGCCCTGAGGAGAGATGGGAACTGAGCTCTGAGTGACGAGGAGCTGGCCACCCCAGTGTCGAAAGAACCTGTCCCAGCATCCATAGTGTCCGCTGTTCATCTCAGCCTTTCTCCAAGAAAAAGAAACGCTGCGGTCTTGTTCCACATACCTTGGCTCCTGTCGGGCTTCCTGTTCCCCAACCCAAGAAGCACCCCTTTGGTTCCTGTCCCCGCTTCTCAGTCCCAGCCTCCAGGCGATTTAAGCCGCAAAGGGCAGCTATGGGTTTCCTATACACTAAAGTCTCGGGAGTGCGCGAGTAAAGACGCAAAATAACTTGATTGCGCCTAAGAACCCCCACGGGCCTTCCTTGTTAAAATACAAAACCCTGGGCCCCAACACAGCTCTCTCCGTTTAAAATCTCCAAGGCGATTTGAAATCAATAGCGCCACAGCTGTAAGCACCCTGCTTCTGCAAGAACAAGCAGGTATGAGACATCTTGGAAATATCCTAGAACGGAGACAAAGTGCTCCGCTCTGCCGAGCTGGTTCAGTTCCAAACACAAGGCGGCCGCCTGGATAACTGGCAAAAGCACGACCCAAGAACGATGGTTGATGCCCCACGAACCTCTCCTTGGACTCTCTGGACCCAATGACTTCAAGGCCGCCCCATTTCACAGGAGGAGCTAGCTCCAAACAACTAGGCGGAATCCCGGGGGGGTGTCAAAGCCCCAGCTCCGCCGCCAGCCCGCCAAGTCTCTCTCCCGAACCCCCCATCAACCCCGTGGCCGCCAGCTACCGCGACACTGCGCGGGCTGCGCGCACTGCTCATGCCTGCCAGCGACGGCCTTTATTAACGGTTCCCAGGAGACCGCTTCAGCTACGAGGCCCCGGAGGGATCACCGCAGCCAGGGGACGGCTCCGGCCCCGCTCCACGGCGGGCAGGCCTGAGCAGGGACCCTGCAAAGATCGGCGTGAACTGTGCGGCCCCCAACTTCCGGCTCGCTCGGGGCATCACCAGCCACACGCGGTAAGCCGCTCTCCAGGGCCCAGAGGGCCATCCTGGCGCGTACGCGGCGGCCGCGCGTGGGGCCTCCGTGGTCCTCTCAGACCACGCGAACCTACAGGATCCGGCTCCACCTGGGGGTCCGAGACCCCGCCATCCCACCTCCCCCGCGACCGCCACATATCCGGCGCCAAAAACCCCAGTGTCACGGCGCAGGCGCCAGAAGTGCGGGCCGCGCAGTTACGCTCGCGACCCGCGCGTCCACAGCCAATCAAAACAGATCTGCACAAAGTGAGTCCCGCCCCCAGGGCGCCAGCGCCAGGCCCCTCCCCTTCTTTGGCCGCCCTGGCCCGACCTCCTTGTCTACGCCCCGCCCCACTCCGTCCCGGTTTAGACTCGCGATTGGCTCAAAGGACGGACGCGAGTTCTTGTTGGTCGAGGGAGGGTCACGAGGTCTCCGTCGTCGCCTTTCCAGAGGCGATTACTGGGCAGGGTCAGTCTTTCGCCTCAGTCTCTAGCTGTAGCTGGCTGCCAGGCGTACGCGCTCCTGCGTCTTCAGTACCCGCGGCCGCCATCTACGGCGCTTAGGTTTCCCCTAGGCTTATCTGCACCATTCGCCCGCCTCACACTCCGCCACTGTAAACCGCCAATATGGTGAAGCTCGCAAAGGTAAGGGGCCCTGTGCGCAGACACAGGCGCCGAGGCCTGCTTTCCAAGGGACGCGCGCGCGGCGTCGCGGGCCTGCGCTCCGTGCGGGTGCGTTCGAGGGCGCCATGCTGCGGAAAGTCTCGCGCGACTAGCGGGAGGTCTCGCGGCGCTGCTGCTTGGTGAGGTGGGGCGCTGGGGCCGGCTGGCGGGGTGGTGGACAAGGCGGGGGACTTCGGTACTGCGCGAGGGGCGGGAGCGCCGGCCGCGGCGTGGGGATGAGGCTGAAAGCCCGCGACGGGCGCGCGAGGTCCCGCCTCCTGGCGCACGTGC